TCTAAATGGATCAGAGACCTAAATGTAAAACCTCAAACCATAAGAACCTTAGAAAATGCAGGACACACCTTTATGGAAATTGAAACTGGCATTCAATTTCTGAACAAAACCGTAAGAGATAAGATAGACAAGTGGGACCTCATTAAACTGGCAAGCTTCTGCAAAACCAAAGAAACCACCGAGAGCAGGGAGACAGCCTACAGACTGGGAAAAAGTATTTGCCAACTCTAGGTCTGAGAACGGCCTAATATCTTGTATCTACAGGGAACTCAAATGTGCTGAAAAGAAAAAAACAAACAACCCCTTACAAAGTGGGGAAAAGATATGAACAAACACTTCACAAAAGACATACGAGCAGCCAACAGACACATGAAGAAATGTTCAACCTCACTAATCGTCAAGGAGATGTAAATTAAAACTACACTGAGATACCACCTAACTCCAGTCAGAATGGCCATTATCAATAACTCAAAAAATAACAGATGTTGGAGAGGATGTGGTGAAAAGGGAACACTGCTACACTGTTGGTGGGAGTGTAAACTAGTGCAACCTCTGTGGAAAGCAGTGTGGTGATTCCTAAAAGCTTTAAATATCGACTTCTCGTATGACCCCACAATCCCCCTACTGGGAATATACCATGAAGAACTCAAATCACTCTATGAAAAAGATACCTGCACACGTATGTTTATTGCAGCATTGTTCACAATAGCAAGAACTTGGAACCAACCATGCTGTCCATCAAAAGAGGACTGGATTAAAAAAATGTGGTACATATACATGATGGAATACTATGCAGATATAAAAAAGAACAAAATCATGAATTTTGCAGCAACCTGGATGGCACTAGAGTCTATAATACTGAGTGATCTTTCACAGCAACAAAGATCTGAGTATCACATGTTCTCACTCATAAGTGGACCTTGAACATCTATCATAATACTGTAAGAAAGAGATTGACAGTGGTGGGAATCTATGGGGGGGTGGACAGGGAGGGCAAGGTTGGTGGGATTAACGGTAGTCAAAATCTATCTGGGGATGGGGGACACTCCTTACCAACAAAGGTGCCTGAACGATGCATATTTGTATACCTAACCCTTAATTGTACCCCACAATTTTAAAATAAAAAATATGATAAAAAAAAGTCCTGCCTATCCTTTAGAATCATTTTTTTAAAAAAAGTTTTTGAAAATCCATTATTGTTGCTGCTAGTGAGACTATTAAAAATGTAAGAGTTCTGAAGGCAGAAAAGCGTAATAAGGTTCAACCATAAAATGTTAATGCCATTATTTATTTTTTTTTCTGCAAAGTAAAAATTGTTCTCCTCCTTTTCAGCCTGGATTTTGTCCTTTTGATAGAAACTCCAAAAGAAGAACCGACAGAAATTGGCAACAGATTTTTTTCTTTGTGGAGTGGTGGAGGGGAGGAACTAGTAGAAAGGAATTGGAAGGTGCCAAAGAGAATTTCTGGGTATTCAGATGGGTGGACCTGGAGCAGTGACCTCTCAACAGTTAAATTATTCACCATTTAAACAAAAAAGTTCTGAGCACGAAACACCAAAATGTTTACACTGTATTGGTAATATAGCATATAAAGAAAAATACATAAAACAGAATGTACATGCAATTGCGACCATGTGACTGACACGTGATGTCAGCTGTGAGCTCACTTTCAGTGATGGATATTGAACATTAGTAGTACTGAATTTTAAACATTTTTAAGTTAAAGGCAGATATAAATAGTGGTTCTGCCATTTCTTCTCACACCTCAGTGGTTTGTCCCACTCCCAACTGGAGGGTATTGGTCAGAGGATGGATGGTCAGCCTGTTTGGCAAAGCCAAGAGCAACCTATTCGCTCTGACTTTATCAACACTGAGACTCTTATTACGCTGTGACTTTCAGCCTGGAACCTCTTCACAGTGTGTGTGTGTGTGTGTGTGTGTGTGTGTGTGTGTGTGTGTGTGTGTATTTGGGGGAGGGTGTCTGGGAACAGACAGAAGTTTTAGGGGTCCCCTCCCTCACTTCAGCTGGAACACCTACTCTTTTATTAGCTTCATAAAGGGTCTGAAGATGCACTGCCCAAAAGTCTTCAAACCACTGAATGAACTGCATTTCTGCTTTTGAATTGGTTCTTTCAGAGCCAGCATTTGATCATGTAAGCACCTAATCAGATCCTGATGACATGCACACAACTCATTTTTCATTCTCTGCTTTTATTTTTTCAAGCTTGACATTTTTTTTCCTTATTCCAATTTTAGTCTTTGAGTCTTGTCCTACACTTTTTACAATGACTTTGTTTTTACAAAGTGACACAAGCTTATTACATAAAAAACTGCAGGAGGGATAACAAAATTACTCCCAACTTACTGCCCCCAAATTACTAATATTAACATGAAAGGTAGTATTATAGAAATGCTATCACAAATGGTTTTCTGTGTAAGACAAAATTATTTGTAATGCCTGAAAATACTATCTGTGTATAAAATTTAATGAAAATAGTCAAGTTAAAGCTTATTTAAATTTAATATTTAAAAAATGTCATGAAATTGAAGGGAAAATTAAAAGATAACCGTTCAATCTGTTTCTTATGCAGGTGCCCTTGTGGATGTTGTGACGCCCCACCCCCAGCAGATTCTCACTACTGCCAATCCCCACACTCTAAAGTCTCCCACTACTGCCAATCCTTTTCTTATAGTATTAGGATAATTGCTCAAGGTCCGCTTAACAGTGAGAACATGTAATATTCACTTTTTTGTTTCTGTGATAGATCACTCAGTATTACATACTCTAAGTCCATCCAAGTTGCTGCGAAGTTCATAATTTTGTCGTTTTTTATGGCTGTGTAATACTCCGTGTATATGTATTTTTTTTAAATCCAGTCCTCTTTCTATGAGTAGCACAGTCAGTCCCATGTTTTTGCTACTGTGAATAATGCTGCAGTAAACATGTGTGTCTGCACATGTGTATCTTTTTCAGTGTTTCTTTTCAAATTTAGGAATACTGTCTCAGGATTCTTGTTCTAGACAGGGCAAGGTGAGAAATGGGTTAAAAAGCCCGTTTCTTTCCTTGGTCATGACCAACTGACAACATGACCCTTTCCGCCGTCTTTGGTTGTTAAGCATTTTCTTACTTTTTATTTCGTTCACCAGTTATTGACGGTAGGGGGAAAGGAGACTCTGAATTGGTTTTAGTGAGCTGGAAGTCGGTGCAAATATTTCTATAACCCGACTTAAGCACTTTTGGAATAAAGTGGAAAAATACTAATTAGGACAAGAGAGAGGAGGAGATGGAGCTAGTCTGGATAGACAATTGAGAAGTTTTAGAGTACCAATTCTCAGATATAAAGAGTACTCAGGAAGAAGTATCCAGCCAGAAACAGAAATCTGGGCCAACAGCAAGAGATGGCAGAAGTAAAAATTTGTGAGTCGCTTCTCTCTTCTCTGAGTTATAAAGTAAAAACAAGACCAGAGGAAAAAAGGCACTAAATGAGGCCAATCCAGACTATCCATATTTTGGAGGCAGAAGGTAAGCTATAGAGAAGACAGAGTAGTAAAATTTTAGAGTGATATGTATCAATCACCACAGTTCAATATTTTGGTACAAGTATTTTGTGATAAAGCACATATACTTTGGAAGAAAGTACCTAGAAACCTTAAGAAGTCAATAATACTACTGAACAAAACACAAGCAATGATTATATCTAATTGTTATGTTAATATAATCTTGCAGTTTAAGAATTATAAAGTGCAACATTTGATTTTTGGAGGGAGTAAAATACATACACTTTTTATAATAAATAAGATAAATAAAGTAAGAGTGATACTAAAGTAAGATATACAAAGTAAAAGGGATACTAAAATGAAAAAAAAGTATACTAAGTATTCACAATGACGTAATTAGGTTACTCCCAAAACTTAAAATTAGTATGTGGAAAAAATACCTTTGTGTCATGTGGCTCGGTTTCGGAACACTGCCTCTGTGCTGTTTCTATTCTGGAATCCAGGACATCTGGATTATCATCTGTAAATCAGTTTAGACAGAATCACAAAGGAAAAAACTAAATGAAAAATGAAGTACAGTTCTATTTTAAGGCAGTTGGAGCCGTCTTTCTTAGGCTTGTAATACGGAGAAACCAAAAGTCATTCTAAATGTATTCATAATATCATGTGATTTGACACTGATCACCAGCCTTTGGCTCTGGCAAAGTTAACAGTGAAATAAAACAAAAAATCCCCAAATATTTACATGACACCAACGAAGTAGCACCTTCTATGGAAAAGGGCTTAGTGCATAGTTCCCAGAGAGACTTTAACTTCAACTTCTTGAATGAGTTACCACCTAAAAGGTATAGATTTGTTACTGAGACCATGGGCTTTAGAATCAGATTTACTTTGTGGACGTAAAGTCATAATCTTTCAAAATCTTAACTTCTTTACTTATAAAATGGTGATGATACCTGACTCACAGAGTTACTGTAAAGATTAAATGATGTACTATGGATAGTACCTGAATATGGTATGAACTCAATAAACTGTTATAAGATAGTCACATGCTCCTAATCAAAACAGAAAAGCACTTGACTCTTCACTCTTTCTCATGTATTCATCTAATAAATACTGAATTTCTACTCTATGTTATGTAGTAAAGGTCCCTGCATTGTTCAATATGGCAGTTAGTAGCACACGGAGCTATTGACATTTAAAATAATTAAAATAAAAAACTCAGTCTCTCATTCACACTAACCACATTCAAGTGCTCAACAGTCACATGTGGCTAGTAGTTACTATACTAGACAAAATAAATATAAAACATTTCCATCACCGCAGTTCTACTAGATAGCACTACTACAGACCATGAGAAAATCAACAGGATGATACACAGAAGGGATATTGGACACACCTGGAATTAAGTGTTTCATTGACTCTGCAGGGCACCTGATCATGACATAAAATAATGGAACACAGTGGCACCTGGCTGGGTCCCACCTGTGTTACAGAGGGAGCCTGGGCATGTGTGAGTTCTAGGGACTGAGATTTCTACAGAAAACAAACTAGTTTCTAGAAAATACTCTGGAGGTGTCAAGCTAGTCTAGAAACAATTTAAGAGTTGTGAAGCAGACAGTACTACCCTGAAAAATTCTGTTACTGCTCTACTCTGTAAGATGTAAAATGTGATTTTCAAAAACATCTAAAACAGAAACATTTATTCTAAATACCCAGTTCATCGTCTGAAGAGGGATAATGCTTCTTTCTTTTTCTTTTAGGCATAGGTTTTTCTTCCTCTTCAACCTGGAATTAAGAATGATTATATTAACACATGAAAAAATGTTCAGCCTCACTAATCACCAGAGAAATACAAATCACAACCATGTTGAGATATCACCTAACTCCAGTAAGAATGGCCATGATTAATAAAACAAAAAACAACAGATGCTAGTGAGGATGTGGAGAAAAGGGAACACTTCCACACTGGTAGGGGGAGTGTTTTGATTTAAATGTAAATTCATACAAAACATCCAACTGGCTACACACTAAATTCAACAATTCTAGAAAATATGTTTTTTAAAACATCATTTCTCATTTTGCCATCTTTGAAGTCAAGCTATCTCTTACAATCAATGGCATGTAATAATTTCATTGGTAGTGTTTTTCTAACTCTCTTAGTGGCTCATTAAAAAAAATGGGCTTATCAGGAAGGATACAGTGTGGGACACACAGGTGGGTCCCAGCAAATAGTATCCCATGGTGTCCTTTAAAATACTCAGTCCACAGGCTGCAACTGAAACTCTGTCATAAAGTGGGATATGGAGGCTTTTTTGAATCAAGTATCACCAGAAAGTTAAAAACAAGCATTTTTAGTAATATATTCAATGCCACTTCTTGCCATCATTTTGAAATTGTTAAAATGGGCAGTGAGCTAAGAAAGCAAATCTGATGCCCTCGTGAGAAGATGGAGTGGTTCTGGGTGGGATCATCTCTGCAGGAGAACATTACGTTTTCTCCTAGAGGCAAAATGCTTGTAAGTTGTGCCACTTAACTTTGAATTTAAAGTGGCACTTGTTCAATGACCAGTGCTTACGAAATCCTGTATTTGGCATGCTTTTTCCATAATAAAAGACACCATTTGTGAAGAAAAAAATGGGCTTACTACAGTTGATGAAAGGCAGTACACAAAAACACATTCAGACTGTCTGACTTCTAAATAATCCTGGGACCTGCCAATGAACTAAACATTATTAAGGATATAAACAGGTAAAAGTGATAGGCAGAACTCTTATTACATCCATTTAATATTTAATTTATACAAAGAAGTGGAGCCTTTTTTGTGCATCAGTAAAAATACTACGTATAGTATTATATGCTTTAGCTTACTACGAAACCGTACCTCTTTAGGACCTGCTTCAACACTGTGACCTCTTACGGCTTCTGTGTTGTCTTTTCTGCCACTGGATATCTCTGAGTAACAGATATAAAACAGAAAAAAATCTCATTCTTCTATTCCAATACTTATTTTAGACGTGTGTAGGGGCGGGTAGGGGGAAACGAATCAGTAATTTCATTGAGTCCCACTTGTGTATGTGGCACTGCAGTAGCTAGCTCATGAGTAATTTTGATGGAATCCTCCATACAACACTGTTAGTCAAGTTCTATTTTTTTTCCATTTTCAGATGTGAGTAAATGGAATTCAAGGACGGAAGTAACACGTCTGGGGTCACAACACTGGACTTCACACAGCTGGCTTGAAGGCTGCTTCCTCTCCAAGTTTGTGTAGTAAGAAGTATCAACAAAAAATAGTAGTATCACAGTCATCAGATAAGCAAACATTCATCAGCATAACAGTATCAGGCCATTGCCTTGCTAGTCTATGGTGTGGCCATGTGCTCTTTGAGCTATGGCCAGGCCAGGCCATGTTTCCTCAAGCTTTGGCTCCCTCCCCTACCTTGGGGAGGTGAATCTCCTCTTCCCCCGCTTCCTCTCAAATTTCCTTTTTAGACATGCTATATTTTCTAACCTAAAAACCAAAACATCCAGTATTGAATATGAAAGGTGAACAGTCGCAAATGCACAAGTAGTTTACCACTTGAGGTCAATTTGGTACATTCAGTAAAGGTGAAGAGGTGCCTGTGACTAAGCAATTCCATACCTAGAAATGCAGATACACTGTGCACTGGCAAACAGGTAGGAGAGCAGGCACAGGCGTGCTCTTTATAATGGGGAAAAGTTGCAAAAGCCTAATGTACCCAGCAAAAGAAAAAGAAATAATAACTGCGGTATATTCAATAGTAATTAAAATAAAGTAACTAGAGTTACACAAATCAACAGGTCACAATCTCAGAACACACTGCTGAATGAGCAATAGCTGGAGATGGTTCACATAATGGGAGATCATTTACCTAAAGTAAGCAACAATGTTTATGGAACCATACGCATCAAATGCAGAATGGTGGTTCTCTGTGGGTCCCTTTGGAGTGGGATAAAAGGGAAAGAGGCTGGGAGTGTGAAGGGGTAAATGGGGATTCAACTGTATCTGATACATTATTTAAAAAGACACGTGAAACAAATACACTAAATTTGGGGATATGACAAAACTAGGTGAGCAGTACGTGGATGCTGATAATTATCATTGCTTTACTTCCATCTGAAATACAGTCTAAGATGTTATAAAAATAACTGTGTAAGTGAATAGAACCTCTTTCTCCATTCTTGAAATAGGAAATCAAGATTAGTAGATGCCAACAAAATTCCATGTTCTGTTTGAGAAAGGAGTTACCTGTCTGGAGTTGAGGAACTGCCGCCAGACCTAACCCAAGGAGATGATCCAAATAAATATGACATTCCTGATCTGCCATCACCCTGAGACTGCCTGTTAGAAGTTAACACCTTATAGTCAAGTACCTGCAAACCACAGGGGACTATGCATTTTGTATTCACATTAGATTGAGTCCACTGTAAAGTGAATGACAAAATTCTAGTCGCTATTTAAGGCAAGACACCACTTATAAGTTGAACGGCCTGGAATGAGTCACTTGACCTCTCTGAGCTTCACTTTCCTCAACTGTAGATGTGATGCTGTTATTTACTTTACTGGATTATATACATTAAATGAGGGACAATTTGCAAAGTAATCAGCACGAGGTTGGGACATAGAAGACACTCAGCAGATGGTAACTAAACTAGTATTAAAATTACTACCATGAAATTCCTCAACTTACCTTCTTTATTATAAGATTTGCTGTGAATTTCTTCATTTGTCCTAGATTCTGAATTTTCAACCTAAATATACAATATAAAAGGTATTTATGGGCAGTCTCACAAAAAACAGTAAAAAAAAAAAAAAAGGGCGTGGGGTGGAGGAGAAGGCAATTTACATAACCTGGTTATTTGTACAAGCACCAAAGGAATTGGAGTACACAATCTTTTTAATTTCACCCAGAAGCTCAAGTGCACAGAGCATCTTCCTTTTGAAAAAGTTTCAGTTCAACAAATTATTGTTCCACTCTGTTTATTCTCCTTGTCTTAAGGGTAAGACATAAGAGAGAAATTTTGTGAATTCTATGTACTTTTCTTCCCATCCAATGATCCTGCATGATTTTTTAAATTAAAAAACTACAGGATATTGTCATAAAACTTTCTGTTGGCAAATCTTGTCAATATTACTTTTTTTTTTTTTTAAACTAGGAGAAAGTCTCAGAATATCCTACAATGTTCTAAGTCCTAGCTATAGATTCTGTGCACATTTGTGCTTGATTGGGGAAAAAGCAGCTGCTGGGAGACTCAGAAGATGAAGTAGGATGGAGTACATGCCAGCTGGCTCTGTAGGTTTCAGCCCCATTGAGAATCTCTTTAACTTTCTAAATTTATTTTATTAATTTTTTTTTTCTTTTAGAGACAGGGTCTTGCTATGTTGCTGAGGTTGAACTTGAACTCCTGGGCTTAAACCATCTTCCCACCTCAGTTTCCTGAGTAGCTGGGATGACATGCCTTGCAACGGTGCCCGGCTGTATAATCTTTTTAACTCTTGGAGGGAAAACCTGAACATCAAGTGGGGCCTTTCCCTTCCTTCTTATTCAGCAGATTGTATAAGTTTCTAGCTATAAGACAGGGTGCTTTAATGAGGTAAGGCAAGTACTCTAATCCCACAGTTGCCTCATAGTGTCCTGATTTCTCCAGGGGCACTGGAGAGAATGCAACTTCTGCAAATCTACAAGCATTTTACAAAATGTTCACTCCTGATACAATAATTGGGTTTGCTATAAATACATTTGACAAAAACAAAACAAAACACACTTCAAGCACAAAAGGGACAAGTGTACCTGCATAATGAACATTTGTATACCTAACCCTGAATTGTACCCCACATCTTTAAAATAAAAAAATTAAAAATTAAAAAAAAATAGCACAAAGGGGATTAGGATCCATCTTGGAAAATATATATACTTAGCAATTATAGTTTGGTATTTTTGGAAAAGCCTTCTAAAAACATAAAGTCAACTTTAACTCTCAAACTAAAATCTATGTTAACTACAGCACTGGGATGGTTTAAGACATCAAAATCCAATTTTCAACCCTATTATCATATTACAAAATACAAAGTTCAGAGTTGTTTACCAGTGGACACAGGTCAACACGGAAAACAGCAAGTAAAAACTGCTGTCAGCATGTTGAACTTGGGCTTGACCCAACTGCCTCCTGGTCCTACCGAAATGCTCAGACAACCCCTCCCCTAGAAAGATCCTCCCCATCAGCTTTCCAAAAAATAAAACAAAAGGCCCAACAACAAAATCAAAACCATTACAGTGACTTACATTTAGTGCTTCGTTCACCAACAAAGGCTCCTTCTGTAGGTCAGCTGTTCAATACCAAAAATGAGATGTAAAGAAACAGTAGTTTCTGAACTGCAGAGAAACAAACTTAAAAGAGTTTTTAGAGCAGGACGGGAGTGTTGCTAAGTGGCCTAGCTGCCTTGTCAATGATATAATTCTGACCAATGATTTTCTACAATCCATGCTATACTACCAGAAAATTAGCATACTGTACTAATAGCAATTAGTGTTGCCTGCATTTTTATAATGATGACAGTGGTCCATTAAATCACTACAGTGACTTAACTATGTTGGTGATCTGAAGCTTAGAAAAAAGGTAGAAGACCTTAATGTAACTGTTAAGCTACAGTATAACACAGGCTCATTTAAAATAATGGCATCAAATGAAAAGTCAGATCCTATCTCCTCAAACAGCAATGGTCTGTTTATATTCTTTGGAAACTTGAAGCACAAGGTCTACTGCTTCTACTCAACAATGACAGAACTCACATTTTTCTTTTAAACAACTTCCTTTTACGTAAGTAGGTCTCTTACTAAACTGTACCTAAACACAGTAAAGCAATCTGAAATATAACTGTGGGAACAGAGGACTTCAGAATCTAAAAATATTAGGTTCTTGGCAATTAAAAATGAGATGTCAATTAACTGTACTATAAAACATCCACACACATTTTAACTCATGCATCTGTCCAAGCTTTGATTCGTCATCTTCAGCGTTGTAACATGTCAGCATGAATAAATTAGCAAGTCTTGGTGTGGTCTTCTAAGACTGGATGACACTTCTACTCAAAAGGCTCTTGAGGCGCTTTCAGACGATTTTTGTCTAAGAGGGTCCTCCACTGCCCTGACCCCACAAACCTCCCCAGAGAGTTGTGGGTAAGGATGTATACACACTATTCCTTGAATTTGAATCACTCCACCTCCATTGCCTTTTCTTTGCCTTGTCTGCCTAATGCACACCTACTCATCCTTCAATATTTAGCTCCAAATAAAGGGAGTGACAAGTACTTATGAATATTAAAAATTTATACAGATTGAGCACCCCAAATACAAAAAAATCTAAAATCTGAAACGATTTAAAATCTGAAACTTTTTGAGCACTTGCATGATGCTAAAAAAAAAAAGAAAAAAAAAAAGAAAACTGCTCATTGGAACGTTTTGGATTATGCTCAGTGAGGTATAATGCAAATATTCTGAAATCCTAAATACTTTTGAGCCTAAGCATTTGGATAGGGGATACTCAATCTGTATATTCTTTGACTCCACCCCAACTCAATTCACTTTTATGGAAATACTTGAGGAAACACATGTAGTGACATGCACGTGAAAGTTCACTGCAGCTCTATTTATAATAAAAAACTGAAGACAACTAAAGATCTAAGATCAGTGTTACAAAGTATTATTTAGCTGTTAAAACAAAAGAAGTGGATCTGTATACACTGATACAGTAATCAAGGATGCCCGCAATATGAAAAAAAGAAATTATAGAACAATATAAAGAAATATTAGGATCTTCATTTAAATACATAATTGTATTGAAGGTGGTTGCTCACAGGGAGTGGGAAACTTTTTATGCACTTCTATATATTTTACTTTCTATAATTAAAGAGGAGCGAGACGTTGATTCAACCAACACAAGTCTTTCTCAAGACCCAACCTTGGAAAGCTGACTCTCATAGACACACATGTATCTTTACTATAGCTCCTTACTCATTTGCACATCCATCTCAGTGAATAATGGATTTATACCCATCAGTCATTTCAATCTTGATTTCCCTAGTACTGACAAGTATCTGGTTTAATGATGTTTGCCAGAGGAATAATTTAAAGGGCCAAGCTGACAATAGTAGGCATTATAACTGCCATCCTAGTACTTTTCACAGGAGCCTGGATTGTGGTGTGGGACACTATTTGGTTCCAGGAGCAGAGCATTTGACTTAATTTAAGCTAACCTGGAAGCTACAACCCTCTGGTAACAGTAATTGCTTTGGGGTGGACATACAAACCTATGCTTAATCAGAATAAGTCTCAGGATTTTGGCCAGGAATGAGAGGACAAAGCTATTTTCTAGAGGCCATAAACAAGAAAGCAATGACCTCTGTGAGGGGATGGGGGAAAAGATAAGAAATTGGGTCTCTCCTAGATGTGTCTTTGGGGATAGCAAAATGCTTTTGAATTATGCTTTGCCTGAATTTTTTAGTTCTGTGAGGTAATAAAGTCCCTTTAAGTAAATACTTGGAGGATTTTCTGTTGTAAGTATTTGCAACCAGGGATTGGCAGTAGCAGAACACTGCCGGAGGGTGGGGACACACAATACCACTAAGGGTAGCTGATCTTAAACCAGGCAAAGTGAGGACCAAAGGGAGGTCCAAACTTCACCTGTACGTAGACCACATATGTACCTACTCCTGTCTTGTATCCCACAACTTTAAAATAAAATATTTTAAAATGAAAATAAATAAATGAATTTAAAAAAAATAGGATTTGTAGCCAAAATCACCCTGACTGTTCATTCCACCTAACCCGAACAGAAATTTCAACATACACTGTAAATAAAAGCAGAACTGGCTTAAATTTGGTCACCTACTTACAGCTCCTGAAACTTTTTAAAGTCAATGTGTGAATCAGAAGAAAATATACAATCATGACTAGAGAGTACAAAGTAGAAATAATTTTCCACTGTCACAATTTTTCTCACTCCCATTTCTTTAACCCAGTGGTTCCTAAAGTGTGGTCCAGAGCTCCTTCTGAAAGTTCTTGAGGATTCCATCAAGGAATCCATAAAGGACAAACTAATGTCATATTAGTACTAAGATGTTATTTGTCTTACAAACTCAGTGTACAATGGAGTTTTTTCAGAGGCCATATGATGTACCAACAATGATCTGAAAAGGTTAATAAAATTCAATCATGTATCATAGATTTTCTTGGTATACTTCAACTCAAAACAGCAAGCAGAAACAGACTAAATGTGGAAAGTTATGAGAAGCCAGGTAAGTTTTCTATTAAGCCAGACTTTTAAAAACATTTGTAAAAAATGTTAAACAATAGCACTTTTCTCACTAAATTTTGTCATTTTGGATAATCTAGTTATTTTTCTATGGGAGTTATTTATGTTAACGTATAGTGAGTTAATTAGATTGAATCAGCCGGGCTCGGTAGCTCAGCCTGTAATCCCGCGCTTTGGGAGGCTGAGGTGAGTGGACTGCCTGAGCCCGCGGGTTCGAGACCCGCCTGGGCAACTTGGTGAGACCTCATCTCTACAATAAATCAAAAAATTAGCCAGGCGTGATAGCGCGCGCCTGTAGTTCCAGCTACTTGGAAGGCTGAGGCGGAAGGATCGCTGGAGGCCAGCAGGTTGAGGCTACGGTGGCTGGGAGCGTGCCACTGTACTCCAGTCTGGGTGACTGAGTGAGACACCAACTCAAAAAAATAAAAATAAAAAAAAATTAGACTGAAACAATATTTCTTTTTCTCAGTTTTAATTTCTTATTTGGTAAATGTCAACAGGTATAATCCGTATAGCAAAAGCTGTTTAGAATTCTCAGTAAGTTTTCAAAGTGCAAAGTGGTCCCTAAGACCAAATGTCTGAAGAGCTGCTTTATCTTTTCTGATATGGAGCGTCTCCCCTAAAAACCTCAGTCAACAACGAGAATGTCTCCCATGGAGGATGAAAACAGGCTGCACCAGCTGAGAGGAGCTTCAGTGAAGCCCTGGGGGCAAAAGTCAGAGCAAGGCCATGAATGCATGGTTGAAAGAGGGCATATAGGCTTAGAATAGACTCTTGGAAATAAGCTGCTATAGCATCTGGAAGGGCAGGAAGGGACACGGAGAAACATTTTTGAGATCGGGCAAGACTTTTGCTCCAAAACTGTTTCTTTTTGCCACCATTATCTGGAGACAGCATATTTAAACAATTACCTTACATAAAGGTGACTGACATTTAATGAAAAAAGTATACACTAAATATAAAACAGTAAAGAATTTTAATCTATTTTCAAAATGAAGAGGCAAATTCATATAGCCTGTCAGCATTTTATTATGAATGAGCTATTGATTTCAAGCTGCAATGAAAGGTAAAAACACATGCAGGAAAACCAATGCAAATAATTACTAAAGGAGCTTACCTCTTCCACTTGGTTTTCTCCCACTTGGACTTTCTGGTGATGCTGGAATTTCATATTTTTTCTCTTCCTCTGAGGGCACACATGTCTAAAAAATCCAAAGCACCATAAAAATAAGTTAACTGAGGTTTTTAAAACAAGAAGGCAAGACTAACCTCAAGTGAATAAACAAAAACCTCAAGATCTTGAAACAATATAAATGTCTACTTTCAAGTCTAAACAAAATTTTAAAAAATGAATGCCAGCCTTTGAAAACAAAAGCAATAAATCAATTTAATCTCGTTTTTCATCCATCAGTGGCTCTCCCACGGCTTTAAAAGCAAACCCCAACTCAGCACAACACACAAAGGGCTCTTCCATGAATCACTGTCTGAGAAACACTGAGAAACACTATCAGCCCTGCCCACCCATGGCTAGAACACACAACTCCCATTGCCTGGAAAGCTTCCTTTTCTTTTTCTTCTGGTAAACTCCCACTCTGCTTTCAAAATTCCACCCCAGTGTCCTCTTACAGGTGCTCCTGCCTGCCCACTCATTGCTCCTGTGGGGCAAGTTGTGTTTCCTCTGCACTGTTCGTAACCCCATGTTCACTGCTGTCTTGCCCTATTCAGAGGGTACTATAAGATCAGTCTGGAAAGGGGGCACAGAGAATAAACTGGGTAAGGCACACAGGCCATGATGAAACAATAAAAGCAGATTTTATTCTAAGTGTGATAAGAAGCCACCAGAAATTTTAAGCAGGGCGATGACAGGACATAAAGTATGCTTTCAAAGGCTGCTCGCGTGGTTGTGTGAGCACAGACTGCAGTGTAACAAGCCTAATGGGGATGCCCCTGAAGTAGTGGCTTGCACAAGGGTGGCGGCTGTGGCAACAGAAATGGATTCTTGCTGTTTCAGAAATGAAACCTGTAAGAACTGGCGATGGATTAAATGTGGGGTGCCAGAGAGAGACACTGAAGGTGACTCCCATGTTTCGGGCTTGAGTAAACAGGATTGACGATGGCATATTACTATACTCAGAGTATTAAGCTTCTTAGCTTACCCCCCACAGGATATAGCAATAACATTAAGAGTCGTAAGTGCGAGGAGAGGAGCTACATACTGCTTAAGTAATACATGCGTATACAGGGTAAAATGTGACTTAAAACCGCTTACAGCGCAGCACAGCTGAATTATAAGCCATACCTCTGTTTTCAAGTTGGCTTTCAGTTTCATTCCTCCTAAAACATTCGAAGGAGACTCTTCATTGCCTAATGAAATTCAAACCGTTAACACAATTTAAGAATTTGCTTGCAAAATACATCTGGGATCAAAAAGTAATGGAATGCAGTTCTGGGGCATGCTGTACCACCTTCCTTCGCTGGTTTGTAGAAAATAATAAAAATTAGGTTGCATGGAAAGGATCTGGATGAAAGGTAGCAATCCTTTACTCATCTCGGGGGCATAAAACTTGTTTGCAAAGTAAAATGGCTGCCCAGAAAGAATGATAAAGTATTATTTGTGGAGACATCTTATTTCCAAGTATTTTTCTGCTGTGATCTCCATCAGGTTTGTCCTTAAGAAAATAAGCAGAGAAAGTGAGATAGATTCACTTTACCTGCTTCCCACTGACACACCAAAAACTGAACATAAAGTTTAAAAAACGGAGGCGGACAAAAATAAAAAGGATTTTCTCAGGTAGAGACGCAATTCTACTCTGGTCCTGCCCTATTCTTTCTCTCTCCTATCCTGCAACTTTCAGCTTCTCCAGTTGTCCTCACCAGCCCACACATGAGCCTCCAAAAAAAAGTCTTCCTTTCTCCAAGAACCTGCAGGCTTTTCCTTGCTAGAAGCCCTTCTATTTTCACTTCACCAGGGGAAAAGACGAAGGGAGGAAGAGTAACAGACGACAGCAATTACTGAGTCACACACAAACTTCTGAAACATCTGATTTACTCTAGGCTAAATCCAATGGAAATTCTTGAAGTTACTTATTTCTACTGTTGGAACATTTCTTAATGTTTCCTAAATCCTTATAATGAACAAGAGTAAAACTACTGGTCTTAGCTTCCTGAGGCTGGGTTAGCTGATGGCTAAGGTCTGTTCCAGTTTAAAAGCCCAGGATGCCACAGTTTATGCAGCCAAAGCAGAAAAGAAGTCAATGTCCTCTGACTTCTTCATATCCAGCCCACATGCTCTGTTTGAGTTCTAATCGCTTCGTGTGCTTAACCCCATCCTATAGAGTGTCACTGCCCACTTTTCTCCCCCTCTTTACCCTCTATACTTGCATCCACAGAGCCTGGCACCTGGTATAAAGTAACTGAAGTTGGATGGTACAATGAATAACTGAGATGATATCTTTGACAGTTATCAACTACTTCTTAAAAACAGCACCATCTGAAATCTAGCAGTTGGGAACATATTTCCTTTCTCTTTCATACATATTCTAAATCAGAAACTAACTCATTTTACCTGAACAATACACTCAGATAAAGAGAATAAAAACAACACGCTCCCTTGATTTGAAGGAGCTAGTAAACTGAACTGATAAACACTACAAATCTGTAGTCCGATGAGGGTTGGAATGATGTTTGCTTTTGTACGATTATCTGCCATAATTATCAACCTCATTTTATACAACAGGAAACTAAGGCTCAGAAGCGCTATTTTTTCCTAAGAGGCACCCAACAACCATGCAAGTTTCCTAAATTTTCGAACCCTACTTTCTTTTCTGTAAAATGAAGTTGATTAAAAAAAAATACCCCTTTCTTAAGTTTACAGTAACATATCCTTCTTTTGACTGACAGGGAACGTGAAGGCCAAAAGGGTTTAGTAATTAGCAGCAGTCATGTCTGGCTGATTTCCCACGCCTCAGCCTCCTGCCCCTTCTCTCCTCACACACAAGAAATGGGTCTATGATTTTACACTTTATTTATTTGACTTTCTGAGTCAGAGTCTCACTCTGTTACTCAGGCTGGAATGCAGTGGCTTGCTCATGGTTACTGCAGCCTTGATCTCCTGCGCTCAGGTGATTTTTCTGCCTCAGTCGTCCAAGTAGCTGGGGCTACAGGTGCACCACCATGCCTGGCTAATTTTTTGATTTATTGTAGAGCCAAGGTCTCACTATGTTACCAGACTGGTCTTGAACCCCTGGGCTCAGGCAATTCTCTTGCCTCTGCCTCTCAAACTGCTGGGATTACAGGCATGAGCCACCATGCCTGGCAGGTTTTACACTTTTATCTTTTAGAGAAGCTTGACCTTCAAGTTCTTATTCTGCAACATTATGATACAAGAAAAAAGATTACATCAAAAGATGGAACCAAAATCAACATTTGGAGGACTGTCCTAACTGCACTGTGCCATACCAATATCTGCAAAATGCTAAAATTTGCAACTAGGAACAGATCCTCACCTACGTCAGGCAGATTTTCTTCAGAAGAAACAGTGACCGCGAAGCCTCCTTCTTCGGGAAGTGGTCTCCTCATGCCATTACCATCTTCAGTTTTCTCAGTCAACGCTCGATCTGTTCCTTTGCCACTGTGATCACCCTTCGTGGTCAAGCACTGCCTACCTTTAGGAGCCAGCAGAACTACGTGGGAAGCGGCAGGAAGGACCACCGTGTGGGAAGGGGCGATTTCTGATGCCTGGCTAGTGATACAGGCGGTGGTGGTGGTTTTCAAGTTGCCTTCAGGACCCTGATGATCAGGGGACGCACAGGAATGCTCACCTGCCGTGTCTCTGCCAGGTGACTTGTCATCAGCTTTTTTCGCACTGGTATTTACTGCTGCCAAACAGTGAACACTGACAGAGGGATCCTCAGCCGCCTGCCCTGACATCTGCTCTGGTCCTCTCAGACGGATGGGTGCACTCTCCTCTAAGCCCCTTCGTGCTGAACAGCTCGCTGTGCCCTCTGCCGTCCCTGTCTCTGGGCTTTCATCCTCTCTCTGAATGGAGCTCAACGACACATTCTTCTCTTCTGCATTTGCGAGGTGCAAAGTGCTCTCTTTCTGTCCTCTTCCTACAAACGGTCCTATGCCAGGGCACCCCTTGCCATGCCTCTCTTTCTCTTCTGCATACACAGTGCTTGGGTGGCCCTGCCCTAAAGAGGGTATGTACACTAATGGCCTGTCGTGCCCTTCCTCAGTGCTCACTGTTGTCACAGGGCCTGCTTCTTTGCTTTCTGTGACTGGCCCAGGACACTGAAAGTTATTTTCAGCAATCAGGCTGGGCATGGGTACCTCGCACTTGCTCACCTTTGTGGCTGACAGGTCACCACACCCTTCTGGGTTGTTTGCAGTCAGCTGATTCTCTTCGTGTCTGTCAATGCCAGCGACAACCGGCACACATTCTACCGTGCTGGTGGAGATGATGGCAGCATCGCTCAAGTCTTCCACTCTTGCGACAGTGGTCCGATCTTCATCCTGGGGGACAGCACCAATCATGACAGCTTCGCATCCTTCAGAGGTGCTTGTGGAAATCAAGGCGGTGTCACTCATCTCTTCCACAGTGACCAAGGGATGGCCTTCCTCCTGAGGGACAGCACTGGATACTGGGCCTTCACAGTCTTCCACCGAGCTTGTGGAGATGATAGCACTCCCGTCTTTTTCTTCCATGACCATGCCAGCTCGTTCATTTTCACTTTCAATAACTACACCAGAAACAGAGGCCTCACACTCTTCTGCTATGCTGGTGGAAATGAGAGCACATTCGTCCTTTTCCTCCTTGCTGGTGGAGGCAAGAGGACTCTCAGCTTCTGGGGGTGCACTGGGCATAGGCCCCTCAAAGTCGGCAGGGCTTACAAAGATTGGACCTTTAGCTCTTTCTTCCACTGTTGCAACCGGCTGTAGATTTTCGGCACACTTGGTGGTTGTTGCACTGGAAATAGGCACTTCGCACTCTTCCCCTATGCTTGTGGAAATCATGGCACACTCGTCTTTCTCTTCATTTCTGCTGGTAGTGAGTTGGCCCTCATCTCCTGAGACTGCACTTGGCATGGGGGCCTCAAATTCTTCCATGTTTACTCCAGCACCTTCCATATTTTCTTCAGTTCTCAGAGGACCTGATCCACCTTCTTCCACATCTATAACTGTGCTTACCTGAGAGGTACAATCATTTGTTGTACTGGTGGAAATCATTAAGCCTTTGCCTTGACTAGTACCCCCAGCTAAGCTATTTTGGTCGTTAATATCACCACCAGCCATTGTTGCTGTGAGACCATCGCACTCTTCATTTTCTACAGAGGTGATGATGCCCTCATCTTCTTTCTCACTTGGTGATGTGTGGGCAACTTCACATTCTGGGATTGCACCGGAAACAAGGATGTGGTAACTGCCCCCTACCAGGCCAGTGGAAATTGTTGTATCTTCAGCTTTTTCTTTCCTGGTGAGCAGACTGCCACTTTGATCAGAAGCAGCACTAGTCATAGGACCTTCACAGCCTTCTGGAACTGGAGTCACTTCATCCTTTCCTGAAGCCACACTGGTCACACTGCTTTCTACGATCCCTTTTGCACTAGAGCAGATCTCTGTGTCCTTAACTTCCTTTTCTGCACCACTCACGCTGTCAACGTTACTTTCGTGTGCATTCATAGTGGCCATTCTGGCCTCAGCTTCCACGTGGTCTACCACAGTACCAGTAGGACTGCCACCTTCGGCGCTTTCACAGATCGAGACTCCTTCACTTTCTTCTCCTATCCCCGTGCACGTGGAAGCATGCCCAATTTCATTTCCTCTTCCAGTACTGGTCACAACACCCTCCCCTTCCTCATCCTCCTCTTTGGCACCTGTGCTGGTCACAACACCTTCATCATCACACGCATCCGCGGCGACCAGTGGCACGTTAGAGCCTTCTTTGGTCATGGTGCTGTCCATTGCACTCTCTCCATTTTCTTCTGACTCAGAACTCATGGCAAAGCCTTCGCTGCTCCCTTCTGAACCCGTGCAACTTGCCGGCCCCTCTCCATCTTCTTCCGTTATACCCGTACTGGTGACTGCGCTCTCACCTTCTGTTCCATCATTCACAGAACCATCTCCTTCTTGGATGGCACTTGTTCCTGGTGGTGTGTCATTATCTACCAGGACCACACCTGCAGCTGTAACCACACGCTCCTCTCGGGGCCCTGCCCCAGTTACAGAGCAGATCACAAAGTTATCACTTCTGCCTTCTGCTCCTGTACATGTCACAGCGCCCTCCGTTTCTTTTTTGGGACTCATTCTGGTCATACTTTCCTGGGACCCATCGACCGCTTCACTGCTTATGGATCCTGTTCTTATTTCTGTCCCAGCACTTGTGACTGCTCCATCGCTTTCAACTTCACTAATAAAAGTGGCAGTTCCTTCGACTATTTCTGAGTCTCTACTGGAAGAATCATCACATTTTTCTTCAGAGCCTGCACTGGTTACAGCATCATCCTTTTCTTCTGCCACAACACCGTTCATGTTGGCTTCAACTGTAGCTGCGTGAGGAACCACTGGGTCTGCTGCTCGGTCCTCCGACTCAGCCACAGCACACTCCCCACTGTCTCCTTCCTTGGTGCTGGTGAGGAAAGTCTCACTTTCAGCAAACCCCTCTGTGACGAGAGCCCCGCCTTCTTCAGCTGCAGCAAACACAGTGCACTCACTGGCTTCTGCCCCAGCATGAAGAGGATTGTTCTGGGGGTGTGCGCCTATTATGAAACCTTCGTCTGCCTCGATGCTGGTGCAAGGCAAAGCCACCTCACTCTCTCTCGTTTCTGAGGAAGTGGTTGTGGCAGCCCCAGCCTTTACTGGGCTCAGAGGGACACCTGTGTCCTTCCTTTCAGTGCTGGTGGCAACAGAAGTCTTTTCCGCTCTGCCAGGCCCAACTGCCCCATGCTCGGTCTTTCCATTCCGCTGGTGCAAAACGGAGGACCCAGAGCCACCTCTACCACTGGTGTCAACCTCACTGCTTTCTCTCCTTGTCTCAGCATCAACTGGTCTGTCTTGCATTTCACCTGGGTCTCTGTGGTGCTGACGTTTCACAGTCTCAGCCTCTGTTTCTGTACTCATGTCTACCACACGGTCAACAGAAACACCATCCTTCTTGCCCTTTTCTACTGTAGCTCCAACTGTTTGCTTTAAACAGGGCTCTGCACTCAAGTCACTTTCTGTCTTGGCTGCTTCCTCCAAGCCACCTTCTTTGCTAAAATTCTTGTCTTCCACAATCATGCCTAAATTGTTCCTGAGAGGCATGATTACTTTTCCTTGTTTACTGTCCAGTAAAGTGACCTGGCAACCTTCTGGAATGTGTCTTCTGCTAGTGGTGCTGCATTTCACTGATGCGTCTACTGTGGCGCCTTCACCACCTTCCTTGCTGTCACTTGTCCTAGGAGCTTCTGATTCCCTGTCAGGTAAGGTTTGGTTAGGGACAGCAGAGTGACCCACAGGGGAGGTGCTGGCTGTGCCACCTTCTGAAGCAGTTCTTTTGTCAGCGACAGAAATTACTTCAGAACCATGAGAGTCTTTCAGAGGCACCACAGTCACTGAACTCACGGACAGTGAGGGGTCTAAATCCATGGAATGTTCAAGAGCAGCCTCTTCTTGAGCAACATGCTCTTCAGAGGGTTTGGCTACGCTTTTCGGATTCTTCTGTACCCTGTCATTCTCTGGCAGGGCGCTAGGTAACATTCTATAAGAAGTTTCAGAGTCTACATTCACTTTCTGAGTTTCTTGTTGAAAGGGCTCTTTGTCCCCGGGATTCAGTTTGGACACAGCACTTTGGATGTGCACTTTCTTGGTCAGGGTGCTTCTTTGGTCAGTATACTTTTCAGAATTACTGCTAACTCCTGTCCCATGCTCTGATTTGCAGGATGGAGATGTTATTTTTGAATCTACTGTAGAAACTCTTAATTCATCCTTTAGAATTATTGCAGTGGTTTTTTGTTTCATAACATTTTCACCATCGACGTCTTGCTGAAAGGTATTATTGTTGCTGTCTTGGATTTTAGACACTTCAAATACATTTTCAATGCCTGGTTCACAGTCAATTTCCATTGGCTCTTGTTCAGGGACCAATGTGGCATCACTACTTTTTTTTGGTCTTTGAAGAGAGGAACTGCTGGGAGTGCCCAAAGCGTTTGCAGCTAATTTTTCTTCTCCCTTGGCCATTTCTTGTGATAAGCTTCCTCTTCGATTTTCACAGATCTTTCTACTTAGCTTCTTTTCCATGACTGAACTATTTCCTCTGGCCTTTTCATGATTACTGTCAACTTCTTTACCATCCTTGTCATCTGATCTATTCTCTTCCTTCTTTTTCACATCCTTACTACTATGCTTCAAGTTTCTGCTTTTGTGCCCATCTGATAACCTTTTCTCAAGCCTGGAGGAGCTCAAATCTTTGTCAGCCTTATATTTCTCCTTTGCTAATGGCAGCTTAGCTCTATGGCTAGAATCTTTCTGTGCATTATGTGTTGAAGCAGCAGCAGTATCTAATACAGGTTCAACATTCGTTTCTTCAAAAGGTTTATCTTCAGTTTTAGACTTTCGCTGTTTTTCGGAGTCATTTTCTTCTGTGTTTTTCTCCTTATCTGGTTTTGGAGTGGTTGCCTGTTTTGTGACACTGTCCTGTAATTCTGTTTCTACAGCTTTTAATTGTTTGCCTTGACTTTTTGACTTAGACTTTAACAAAAGTTTCTCTTCTAGCAAGCTCTTTGTTCTTCGTTTCTCCTTGTGAACAACCTCTTCCGGTTTTAAATTACTATCTAAATTAGTTGAGTCCATATCACACTTATCTTCTGAATAACTTTCGCTTCTTCTCTGTAATGTGATACCATGTTGCTTGGAACTTAGAGAATCTTTCTGAATTTTAGAATCACTTGAGCGTCTTGATTTGTGTTCTGCCTTAGTTTTTTCAGCTGACAAGTGTTTTTCTTTTTTGCTGTTTTCTTTACGAATATTCTCATCTGTTTTTATAATATATTCAGAAACTGGCTTTCCATCTTTGCCCAAAATTGATAATTTCCTTTCATTTCTATGTTTACTTTTTCGCTCAGCTTTATCATCTGAGGAAAGCTTTGTTTGTTGACTTTGCTTTTGAGTATTTTCCTCTGCTTTTAAACCTTTTTCAGAAGAGTGAAGTTCAGTCTCGTCACCCATCTTATGTATACCATCACCTTTATATTTATGTTTCGTAGACAATTTGTCTTCTGATGGAGTTTTTTCTTTTTCAGGTTTCTCCTTAGAGGATTTCACCTCTTTCTTAGGTAGGTTTTTCAAATGTGGTATTTCAGAATCATCTTTCTTTAGATGCTTTTCAGTTTTAAGTGTGCTTTTCTGTTTCTGTAGTTCTTCGGTGCCGATTTCTGATTGTTCTACTTGCTTTTTTACATCTCTTGTGTTAGTCTCTTCCTGTGCCCCTTCCACCACAACAGGGGTGGATGTCCGTCTTTTATGTTCTCTTTCTATCTTGGATTCATTTTTGTTTTCATCAGCTACATGCAAAGACTCTGAAAGTCTCCGGGAAGGTTTACTTGGTTCAATTTTTGCATGAACATGCTTTGGCTCCTTTGAAGAAGACACTTTTTCCTTTTCACAATGCTGTAAGAAAATGAAGGTCAAAATATGAGAAATACCAAAATCAATGCTTAGATTCACATTTAACATTTGGGTGCATTTAAGATGCTGAGTGCTATCACATGTTATACCTTACTTAATTCTAGCTAGCAGCCTGTGGTATTATTAACCCATTTTCATCAGGAATTTGAAACTCAGCACAATGCAGTAACTTGATGATGAGGCCACAAGCTGCTGTATTAGGACTGAGTTTAGATGACCTCATTCTGAGTCTAGTACTTCTGTCACTACATCACAGGCACCTTTATAGGCACTAGTTATTTCTCCAGAGATTCATTTGTGCACTCTTCAACTCTGAATCACTAGATCTCACTGATGCCCAGTAGTAATTAGTAAATATAAGATGAATGAATGAATGAATGAATGATGGTTCAATGTTCATTTCTTTCTTTCTTTTTTTTTTTTTTTGAGTTGGAGTCTCACTCTGTCGCCCAGACTGGAGTGCAGTGGCACGCTCACGGTCACCGCAACCTGGACCTGCTGGGCTCTGGCGATCCTTCCGCCTCAGTCTTCCAAGGAGCAGGGACTACAGGCATGCGCTACCATGCTTGGCTAGTTTTTGATTTATTGTAGAGATGAGGTCTCGCCAAGTTGCCCAGGCGGGTCTCGAACCTGTGGTCTCAGGCAATCCACTCGCCTCGGCCTCCCAAAGTGCTAGGATTACAGGCTGAGCCACTGAGCCTGGCCTCAATGTTCTTTTCAATCAAACACATAATACATGAGGATGAAGGTATAAGGCAATTTAAAAATCTTACACTGACATACGGATTTCCTATATTTTAATTCAGAAACTTGATTTATGAAAACCTCATGAATTTAGACTACTTGCACAATATTCTACGTATAAAGTTTAAAGTGCACACAATAACTCATAGTAACAGTAACAATATCATATAAAACCTATGTATATACTTACGTATTCAAGGGAAGAGACTGAAAGATTACAGCATCTAAACCTTCCTCCCACACCATGGTTTGGCACTAAGTAGATTATTAACATTAATGAGTGAATGTTAACTAAATCTACTTCAATAAAGACACACTGACTACCAGCTATAACTTTTATTCAAATAATTGGCCTGAGTCTTCAGATAGACCCTTGTGCTTCTGGGTCAGCTTAATGCTGCATCTCCTTCAATTTCAACACAAAGATTAATGTACTCTTACTAATAATAGAAACCAGGACACAAGAAGACCTTAATAAATACTTTAAATTCTTCAAAAAACGAATAGGAGTTGTATTAACCTAATTTTACAATAAAAACGAATCCTAAACTTTCTCTGCTCCCACTGCTTCACTTGACCAGCCTCAAAACAAAATAAAATAGCTAATCCTAAACAAGTAGTGCAGATAAAATTTTACGAGCTTATTCACATAAAGATTTATCATGACGTTAAGTTAAATACTTAAAAATTTACCATTAAAACATCAGGATGTACTTCTAAATATACCCTTAATTTCAGCAAATAAAAATATTTGCTGATGATAGACAAATAATTACTGCATTATTCACTTTTCTCCGTGAAAATATTAAGAGACCTTAGCTACAGAATTATAGATATGGCTTTGCAAACAAGAATTTAAATCCAGTGAAAATGAAGTTTGCCCCAAGGAAATAATATTATAAGGGAAAGAAATATATCCACTGCATGTACTTTTACTATTGAAAATGATCAAATCTTGGAAACAACTTAAGTACTGAAATATAAGAAATATTTACATGCATCATGATAAAACCATTCACTATAACTCTATGCAATCATTAATTAGGAAGCTTAGATGTTAAAATAAAATGAGTAAAATATTAAGGACATTTTGCCGAATTACTTCCACTCCATAAAATCATAAACACAAGTGGACAAGGAATGAAGGAAAAGAAAATAATGATTTGTTATAGTGAAGGGTCTTAGTTGCCCTCTCCTTCTCCCTTCTCATTAATACTAGCAACTTTGTTATTGCAAATATAAGAAATTGCAGGGAAGGGGAAAGGAAGACAATAAAAGAAGCTATTACCCAGATAAAAGATCACATAAATCAACTTGACAAAATAAGGAATTCAGGCCATAATAGAACAGAGGTCAAAAATGCTGACTGCAAGAAATTTTTTATTTAACTAGAAAAAAACAAACTGCATTCTAAGTTTTATTACAAAGGACTAAATAGCCTCTACCTAACAAAAGAGCATTTGAAACGGAGTTTCACTGATTAAGACATACCTCGCTTATTTTGAAGGCTTCTTTGGAATCTTCTTCAGATTGCTGTTTCTTTTTGGAATTCTCATCAACATTCCTAGGAGAAGAAAGAGTCAAATATAAACTCTGAATCAAATATAAGAATTTTTCAGGAAGGTTAAAAAAAAAAAAAAAAAAAGTTGCTTTACTATAAACACTTGATCCATAAATGGAAACCTGTTACATTTCAGTTTAAGTCCTATTCTTGGTCAACAGAGGAGAGAATCCCAAATGTGCCTTGAACTACTCTTGGTGCTAAAGAAAAGAACTGCTGAAATGAAAATTCCTGATTTGTTGCTTGAAAATGAGTACTCCATGGGTTATAATTACATTTTGAAATTAACATCTTTTGAGTAAACAGAGCAGTCTTATTTATTCAGATCAATAGGAATGAGGTTTTTTTTTTTTGAGTCAAGTCTCACTGTCACCTAGGCTCGAGTGCTGAAGTGCAGAGGCATGATCAAAGCTCACCACAGCCTTGACCTCCTAGGCTCAGGTGATCCTTTTGCCTCAGCCTCCTGAATAGCCAGGACTACAGGTGCATGCCACCGTGCCCTGCTAAATTTTTTGTTTTTCTGTAAAGTTGAGATCTTGCTATGTTGCTCAGGTTGGTCTTGAACTCCTGGGCTCAAGCAATCCTCCCACCTTGGCCTCCCAAAGTGCTGAGATTACAGGCATGAGCCACCATGCCTAGGAATGAGATTTAAGAATAAGAAATTGAGAGCAGACTCCTATCACTGAGTTCTGCCAATTATTGATTCAGTTATCTTGACGTCTGTGATAAATTTACATAATTGCAACTTGATGGAACAGCAGAATTACAGCCCATGGCTCACATGACTTTATAACTACTCTCAACAGTCTCTTTGGCTTTCTAATTCTTAAAGAATTAACAATGATAATATAGTCTTAATAAAAAATCTGGCTCAGACTCAGGGTTGGGGAACAGCAAGAGATACTAGCAAAAGCTGTGGGGAAAGACTGGAGAACAGACATAATCATCATGAAAAAGTGAATATCCCAAACAGGAATACTTCCAGAGAACTTCTAAAGGATCCATAAACTCTGAAATTCTCAGAATAACTGTGTATTTATGCATGTACATTTTTCTGGGGGAAGATCTTAAGCTCCCAGTAGATAATAAAAAAAAGATCTGGGACCCCCAAAATGAAATACTACTTAGAAATGCTATAGATAGTAACACAATGAATCATACCAAAAATGAAACCCTAAGGTCCTTCAATAACATGCAGTAACAGACAATGTACGACCATTTCAATGTCTTGCTTCTGAAAACATCCCACAAGAGTGTTATAACAGGAACATGACCAGATAGAGTTTGTACCTTGAATCTTTTCTTCTTTTTTTGCTCAAAGCTACTTTCTTCTCTAAAACTTTCCGTTCTTTAAGGACTTCTTTAATTCTGGGGGCTTTAGGTTCCAAACTTTTTGTTGATGATGATTCTTCTAAGTCCACACTACTTTTGCCTAGGAAAGAAGTAATCAATAAAATGTATGTCACAAAACAGTTTTATAAACAGTGTAACATTTATTTTTCATTAAGATTTTTCTAATCACTGTAAAACAGCAAAATGGCTTCAATATCCTTAAGTTGTGCTAGAATAAATGTTTTTGACGAAGAAGGCTTATTTTTTTAATTTGAAATGATCATATAAGTGTGTGTACATGTGCAAATAAATATATCACACAGGATTAGTGTCCAGACGGAGTGCAATTTTGTTCAATTCAATATTCTAGATAAATGTTTGATATTTTAGAAAACATAAGCACTGATTAATTCTATCACTATCACCAGCAAGGCACAATTACTCATGTATTAACAATCCATTTTTCCAGTGATAATTCATTCAATCATAACTGAAACATAAATGAGCTGCATCAGTTGCTACCTGATAAAACGCTTAATTTAGATATAACAATATAATAAAAAAAAGGACTAAGTACACAAGATTAAAATGTAAGAGAATCTTCCACGTTTAAGAACATTTTATTCTATAATTATATCTTGTAAGTAATATAAAAATATCCAGAAAATAATGAACTATATAAGATAGTTTAAAACAGTAAATATTAATGTTTCCTATACCTTGACTCTTGGCTTTTGAAGACTTTGTCTTTTCTGCTTTCTGTTTGCGTTTTTCCTCAAGTTTCTCTCTATTAATTTGCCTTCTTAAAAGCCTCTCTTCTTTTTCTTTAGCCTAAAACCACAAAATATCCTGACAGATTATCGGGCAAAAAAAAAAACCACTCTGAAAAAAATATATAGAAAGAAGTTTTAGTCTGCCCTTCAGATGTTCTTACAAATTAATAGGCTCTACAAAAGTGCACATTGAATGCACACCCACACACATTTGTGTGATGTGTCTATGTATGGATGAATGTATATATGTATGTGTTTCAATTTGGAAACTACCAGAAGAATAACAGAGATAGATGTGAACATCCGCCAATACTCTTTCAGAATGTCATCAGGTTAAAGGACAGGAAAGGTATTATTTTGTGAAAAAAGTGGTACTGGCATTTCGATTCAAAATATAGCTGTGAAAACATCTATGAAAATCAAGTATATACCGGTAGGTTTCCTTAACATTCCAACTATTCTTAAAGAAAAAAGCTGCAATTCAGATTCCAGTCAAAGGCTTGGGACTTTCTAGTGCTGTATTTTTAAGAAGAGAGAATTCATAATCACTGTGCTACTCTTGCTACCACTTTCTGGCCCAGAACTCAAAGTCCAAGTGCCAAAAGTCCTAAGCAGATGTACAAGTGCTCAACAACTAACCTGTTCAAGAAATGAACCTAAAAGGAAGATAAGCCACTGCTAGTATTTTAGTGTAGTTCCTTCAAACCACTTTTCCGTGTAACATCATTTCCTGATTCTGAGATATACAACTTTGCATATTTTAATGTTTCTGAAATTGAAAGCCATCTTAAAACTGATATGTACATATGAGGAAACAATTTTCTTTAAGAAGCTGTTATATTAATTCAATGACACATCTTATAATTGGAGGAAGCATTTTCAAATCCAAGAAACGTGTGAACTGCATATCCCTTTCAATATTATGTTAAAAGCTGTATACCATATCTTTGTATGAGCGAATCTTTACTCAAACATTTCCATACTGTGAAACATTTAGGTTCAAGGCGTTTTTGGACTTTTCCATACCTAACTTCATGAGACAGGTGGCAGTCAAAACACAGTCAAAACTTCATCTAATGCATGAAATTAGTAAAAGTATTGTATAAAATAACCTTCAGGCTATGTGTATAGGTATACATGCAACATAAGTGAACTTCATGTTTAGATTTAGGTCCCTTTCCTAAGATACCTCATTATGTATATATAAGTATTACAAAATCTGAAAAAAACCCCAAATATGACATACTTCTGGCCTCAAGCATTTCCGATAAGGAGTACTTTCTATATTAGTAATGATGGCACAAACACCTCTTTCCCACTTTTATATCTATGTTGTTAAATGACAAGGTCCCTGAAGTCAAAGCTTGTATGTCTCTGCTTCATATGTGAACCAGGACCTCACAGACTACAAGTCTGTCAACCTGATGTCATGGGCTAAAATAACAGAAGAACTGGGACTTACAATAGACTGTCGCCGTTGTTCCACAGTAAGTTCATCATCAGAATCACTGTAGTACTTTGAGTAAAGATATGGTTTGTGGACATAAGCATGCCGTACACTTTTTGTTTTCCCTTCACTAGAGTCACTAGTTTGAGGTTTTGTTTTATTCTGTTTGTTCTTTTCTTCATCTGCAAGAAAGTTAATAGAAAGATGAGTGCTTCTGTGAATTAGTAATAAAAATCAATACTATGCTGTACGAATAGCAAAAGCAGTATCAATATAGTTTAGGTACATTCTTAAGTCCAACAGGGGAAATATCAGTATGCAAAAATTTCAGAAATTGACATTTTAAAAAACTATAATTCATATCTTATTTCTTTACCATCAGCTTCTCACACATAAAGGAACAAGGCAAAGAAAAATTAGACATAGTTATTCATGCTGTTAAAAAGAAAAACTTCAGACATTAAATTTAGCAGAACCTACTTGAGCAAAGAGTGATTCATGAAACAGCCATCGCTCAGAACCAGAGGGAGTTCAGAGAGCTGCACTTCAGCAGTGTGAGACACAGAAGTTAAGTCAATAAATTATTTGATTGGTTACAGCTATGTGTTTGCCTTATTTGGGCATGATCTGGTAGAAAAGTCTCCAGTTAGAGGCACTTGGTGGTTTCTGATCGGCAAGCATAAATTCCATTTTACTGTCTACACTGGGCTTAAATCTGCTTATGGAGAAGCCCAAGGCACTGGAGCCACCTCAGTCTAACAGCCTCCAACCCTGCCTCTAGCATCCTCCTGACTTTACTTCTTGTCCGTGGACTTGATTGGAACGGCTGACCACTATTAAGTTACACAAGTTCACTGGAAGGTGTACTTTAAACTTGAGATTTTAGTGACCACCTCTGAGTCCATTGAGGAAAGAGCTAAGAATCACTAACTGGTCCTACACCAAGTATACAGTAAAATCCCTCTACGTCAGGAAGGTAATTCAATTCCCATTGACAAAGCAAGAAGAAAATGGACACAAGATTTTCCTCTCCTAGCACTTAGTATTCTTAAAATCATCTTCTTACTTTTTAGATCCCCTATAGGCAAAATCGAGTTTTGTCAGGAAAAACCTTCAACCCTTTGCTCTCAGGGACATCCTGCGGATCATGCACCGCAACTCAGCTGCAGCTTCTTACACGAAACAGTGAAAAACAAGTCACTTCATAGTAAATAGTACAGCATTGGAATAAGTTATTTTATTGCAATGATGTTTGGCTTAAAATGGAATTTTGGACATTGAGGAATTTTTTTGTGACAAAAGTTTCAAAATTTTATCTTATATTTTTCTAACGTGTGGCAATGTGTGAAACAGTCACTAACATGCCTTGCAGGTTCATCGATACATGTTATGATGCAATAGTAATTTCTTTCACTTCTTTCATCTGGTATTTTTCTATTCAAGCAGACAATGCAGTCTTGTTTTCTTCCTCCCAGATTAATAATGTGCAATTTATTGTCCAGTCTGTTACTTGAAGAAGATATGGAAGGACACACTTATGATTCCTGAAAACCACCTCTCAACTGATCGATTAGATCCCAGAGTACAGTCCATATCTTTATTTGATTTTTAGTGCAATTTGAATGGAAAACTTCAAGGAAACAAACATTTTTTTTGGGGGGGGAAGCCTCCTCACACTGATAAATGACTTTGGTAAGGTTTCAGGGTACAAAAGCAACATGCAAGGAATAGTTGCATTTCTACACACCAGCAACAAGCAGTCAGAGAACCAAATAAAGAGCACAATTCTATTTACAATAGCTACAAATAATAATAAGAAAATGAAATACCTTGGCAACCACCTAACCAGAGAAGTGAAAAGAACTTTACAAAGAAAACTACAAAACTCTGCTTAAAAAAAAATCAAGGATGACACAAACAAATGAAAAACATCCTATGCTCATGGACTGAAAGAATCACAAGATGTCCATCCTACCCAAGGCAATCTACAGATTCAATGCAATACCCATCAACTTACCAACATCATTTTTCTCAGATCTAGAAATGACAATAACAAAAATTCATATGGAAACAAAAAAGAAAATGAATAGCCAAGACAATCCTCAGCAGAACTCAGAACAAAGAGGGAAGTATCACACTTCCAAACTTTAAACTTTATTACAAGAGTACAGTAACTAAAACAGCCTAGTTTTGGTAAAAGAATAGGCACATAGACCAATGGAACAGGACAGAGATCTGGAAGCAAAAACATGGTCTTTCAACCAAACTGTCTTCAACAAAGCCACCAATAACAATCACTGTTATTGGAAAGGAGACCATATTTAGCAAATGGTGCTGGGAAAGCTGGCTGACCACATGCAGAAGAATGAAACTGGATCCCTATCTATCACCATATATAAAAATCAACTTTAATGGATCAAAGACCTAAATGTAAAACCTCAAACCTAAAAGTCTAGAAGAAAACCCTTATGCACATCGAAAGTGGGACCTCATCAAACTGAAACACTTTTGCATAGCAAAAGAAACCATTAAGAGAGTAAATAGAAAACCCACAGAATGGGAGAAAATATTTGCAAAATATGCATCTAACAAAGCCCTAATATCCAGAATCTACAAGAAATTCAAAGTGAAAAGAAAAAAAAAGAGCAACCGCATTAAAAAGTGGGCAAAGAATATGAATAGACACTTCTTAAAAGACATACAAGCAGCCAACAGACACATAAAAAATGCTCAGCCTCACTAGTCATTCTAGAAATGCAAATCAAACTACAATGAGATACCACCTAACTCCAGGAAGGGTGACTATCGTTAATAAGTCAAAACAACAGATGCTGGTACATGTGTGGTGAAAAGGGAACGCTTCTACACTGTTGGTAGGAGTGCAAGCTACTTCAACTTCTATGGAAAGCGATGTGGTGATTACAAAAAGAACTAAAAACAGACTTTCCATATGATCCCTCTCCTGGGAAGATACCTGGAGAAACAAAAACCATTCTACAGAAAAGACACCTGCACATGCATGTTTATTGCCACACTATTCACTATAGCAAAAACATGGAACCAACCCTACTGCCCATTGAAAATGGACAGATTAAAGAAAATGTGGTACATATGCATGACAGAGCCATAAAGAACACAATCATGGACTTCACAGTAAATTGGCTGGAGTTGACAACCATCATACTAAGCAATCTACCACAGCAAAAAAGAACTGAATACTGCATACTCTCATAGTAGCCCAAACTTCTCCTGCATGCAGCTACTTATGTAGTTAATCCTCACTTGTACCACACATCCCTATGACAAAATAAAAATAAAATAAAATATACATTAAAAAAATGTTGTACTGGCGTAAGTGTGTCCTGTATAATCACCAGCAATCTCTTTACGTCTCTTGAGAAGGAACATCTGACTGGTTTGGTATATTGACAATGTCCCCTCAGAGGTGACATCCATGTGCAAAGTGGTAAAGAACCCAGAGAGGCAGCAAGAGTTCGAGGGGTGTTCAGAGCATGAGGCACATTCTTCCTACACAGGCAATACAGAACTGACCTCACAACTAGGAAGTGCTGCTGTTGCTTCTCTGGGGGGCAGGCAATGTAGTCCTTCATGAAAATGAAGAAAAGAATAAAAGATGGGAGAGACTGAGAAGCATATCCATGGTGTGAAAAGCTTCTACTTTTTCTCCTCTATGATTTTTCTCCCTAGGTCTCCTATCCAAAAACCAGCAGCAAATATACAAGATGCTATAAACAGGCAACTGTACACAAAAATTCAGTATTTTTAATTAAAATAGCCATAAATAGAATTTAATCATACTGCTCTTAAGAAGCAGCATAAGATATAAGATACGGGATAGAAGCACAGACTACATTTTGAGGCCTGCACTGGTTCTCACTAGCTATGTGACTTTGTCTCTTTGCCTGTGTCTACTTCCTAGAGTTGTTCTGAGGACTACAGAAGTCATTACATAGAAAGTACTTGGCACAGTGCTTAAGATGTATAGTAAGTGCTTAGGAAAGTTTAGCTAAACAACAAACAGTTTTGTAGAGAATTCAGCTGTGCCCAGAGGAGTCTAGTCTTTGCCCTTAGCTTCTGGGAGGTGATCTCTACCTTTGGTACACCACGCCTGACAATGTGTTTGTTTGCTTAGGTGTCTTGAGTCAAGCTAACAATGGGACTTACACTGTAGCAGCTTGTCCAGAGGGGCTGCAGACAGACAACCTCAGAGCTGGGACTCGGAAACAAATCTTCCTACTACAAAGTCCTGTGCTATTGCTACTGTAACACACTGTCTTTCAGGACACAGCCAGCAGAATATACAAATAATGCTTGGTGCGATGTTTCAGAGGCACTATTAAGTAAAACGCTTTACCATCTGATGTAATCTCTCCTTCCTCCATGCTATCAGACATTACAACTTCCTCCTCGGTATCTTCTTCAAAAGATGAAAGGTCACTGGTATGAACAGAGCTAACTGTGATATCTGTAAGTCCATCCACATCAGAATCTATCAAAGGAAAATCTTCAAGAGGAAAATAAAACACAGAAAATAAATCATCTTACTCAGAACTCTATTATGAAATTACATTTAAAAATTTCTTCTTTAAATATATGTCAAAGAAAGTGAACTATCAAATGAGATAAAGCAGTTTCCAGAAAATACAAAGGAAACTAGTACACTGCAAAAATAGTTAAACTACTAATTTACAATGTAAATAATATAAATCAAAACAAATTTTAAGCAACTGGAACATTTATTACCTAATATCTTAAAGATTAGAATATATAACTGTGAATTAAGCTGCTTAGAATAATGCTAAATGCCTAAGTTACAACCCTTAAATTATTCCCTGTAAATTTACTCTGTGAACAGATGCATTAGTATAAAATTACAAATATTTATTGCTCCCCTTTTTCTGGCAAGGAAAATAAAAATTTTCAGCATTTTGGAATAAGAGTATCCAATAAACTTAAAATTTTGCAGACAAAAGTGATACTCTCCTTCCTCTAAAACATTCCACTCTTTCAAATATTATAGACCTTTGCAAGCTTTTATATACCTTCTTTTGTCCCTTCAAGAGTTTTATTTTTATTACTGTTCTTTTCTGAAGGAAGTTTTGAACTCTCTACTTCTTTTTCTTTTACTTGCTTTTCATCCTTAACTTTTTGCATATCTTCACTCCTTTTTGAGTGATCACATTTCTTTTCGATTTTTTCCTTCTTTTCTTTCTTTCTTTCTCCCTTTTCATTACTGTCTGGCTTCTTTTCACTTTTGTCTGCTGATTTATTTTTTTGGTCACTGCTTTCGTGTTGAACATCCTTATTTAGTAGAATTAAGTTATTATTCTCTTTTGTGTGATTTTTAATTTCCTCAACCGGACACGGGAGATCACTGAATTCTTCGGGCTTTGGAGCTGCCTCCAGTCCTTCCCCTCCAGAGTCAGGTGCAGATTTTTCTTTGTCAGCCATGTCCTCTGAAGTTCTTTCTTTGTCAATACCAGTGTCGGTGCTTGGCTGAGATGGGAGTTTTTTTGCTACTCTCTCAGTGGTCTTGGCATTTGATGTTTCTGTTGAGGCCCTAGCAGCATTCGCTTCTTGGTTAAGAGAAGTTATGGTTTCCAAGATTGACATGGCATCACTGGCTACATTAGCACTGGGCCCAGGAGCAGGAACACCTTAAAGTTGAAAAGATAAGTTTTAGAATAAATTTATCCAAAAGGTAAATACCTCTGTTGAGTCAATGTTATATGCCACTGTCATCTTTACATAATGTATATGCTATGCAGACCATCTGTATTGTTTTAGACTTAGGAAGGGTACCACGCAAATCTGAGAACCATTCAACTCCCAGAAAAAGACATTATTCTTTAGTCATTCTAGTTACGCCCTCTATGCTATCACACACACACACCCCATACTAAAATGCTTATTATCTTATTAACCTAAAAAAGGGAATGTTATGCCAGATGAAGAATTTGGGTGATATTTGAAGTAAATACAATTTCACTAAAGTCGCCAAATACAGACTACCCTAACTTGACAATCTTCTTGAACTAAGAAGAAAAGCAATGGAACTGACCAAGGGTAAAAGCAAAGCACCTGGTGTAATGACAGCAGAGTCTGGTTTCTCATCATCAGGAGCTGTGCTGCCACTTGCGTCCTCTTTGTGGTTCAGTGTGGCCAAAAACTCATGCACAGCTTTCTCTACTTGAGGTCTGAATGTGTGGTTGATCTTTGGATCCACAACCTGAGAAATAATTCGGTCAATACCAGACTCCAACATTCCTGATCTGAAACAAAGGATAATTTACAGAAAGGTAAAAAAACAATTTTATATCATTTGTATTAATGAACTTTAAACACAACTGTATCTATTATATATATGTTCAATCTCAAATTGTCCCAATCCAGTCATCTGAATATACAGAAAGAAAAGGCAATGGAGGATGAGTTTTATGCTACAGCAGCATTTAGATATACAAGACTAAAACAAAGCCTGTAAGCTTTTCCACCATTGTGTCACTGGTGAAAATACTAAAACAGACAAGACAAAAACAAAACCAAACACCCTTAGAACTAGACACAGTTTGCTATCTACTGCCCAGTATTTAAGTGCTACTTGTTTCACTTCTACTCTGACTATGGCATATAGAAATATGATCACTAAAACAAGTTCTAGTTATAAAATATCTGTGGACTCTGCAACTTCATTATCTTTTGCAGACAGAAAAATGTAAGCCTTTTATAAGCATTAAGGTCTCCAGAAAAACTGAACACAAAATATAATTCTATCAAGTTAAAAAAAAAAAAAGAATTATTTGGGAAAACTAAAATAGAACACAACTTCTGGCTCTCTTTTTACTATCTTCCTGCTATAAAAGCTAGATAATTTATTCATCCAACAATTATGTTATGAATGTCTTCTACAAAAAAGCTGGCCATGGGGCAGCTGCAAATCAGACCTGGTCCCTGTTCTGGTTGTGGGGGTAGACACAGACAAAATATGAGACGATATGCCCTATTATGCACCATGTACTATAAGAAAAGAGAGAAATAAGAAATTATCAGCTTACTAGAGGAATAAAAAACTACTAGATATGCCCAAGATAATTTAGGAATGCTGTATAAAGAAGATACTGAGCTACAGAAGAGGAGGAAAAGAAAGACACTCCAAGTTAAAGAAATAGCATATACAAGAGATGAAGCAATGAAGACAATATCTGAAATGTGGTTTTGAACAAAAGCATCTGAGTAAATTAAGAGAACATAAATTTATTTTAAGCAACACACTTAAACCTTGTTTCTCCCTAAAAAAAGAATAGGATAAGTTGAAGTACTTGGGAGAGTCCTGGGATGTACAGGTACTAGTCATCTCCAGCTTCCAGGCCTTAGCCTCTCTCTATACATGGGTGAGGAGGCGTTTCCCCTTACACCTTACAAGTGCTATTTTTGAATGCAGCACTGTCTGAGTAGAGGATGGATTGGATTTTCATTTCCTGAGGCACCGTGTAGCCTTGTGAAACTATAATTCTATTTATGTGGGCCACAGAGAAAAATGAGCCAACCTGGCACAAAGTAGGTTACCTGCTTTCTAAAGTTCTAAGATTAAAAATATGCAAATCTTGCAAACACTGTTACATCTTAGAGGTGTTTTTAAAATGTAGTAGGTAGAAAAGAAATAAGAAAAAAGCAATCTTAAAAATGTGTTCATTTAAAGCACAAGTACAAAGGTACAAATGAAAAAATAAAACCCATCTACCCCCAAATTATTGTTTCAGGCTTTCTCTGTTTGTCTGTTTCAGTCCCTTTCCTGCAAACACATAAAACACTTCTGCTTTAGAGGTGAGTTCTGAGCTTAAGTAAAAATGCAGTCCAGTGCTAATGACCACGCAGTACTAGAGGCCAGAGCTGCCTTGCCAAAGTGGGGAGAAGCCACAGCCTGAGGATCAAGGGCAAAGCCAGCAGCTGGCATTTTTCTGATGAAAATTACTTCCTTGTCTTCTTTTAAAGTTCTATCAGTTAAGATCATTATTCAGAGCTATCGAGGACTTTCAGATTCCACTGCAGAAATGAAAGTTTAAGTAGAATAAAACATTACCTCCTACTGAGTCAGCAGATTAGCTATTAAGTTAAACCATCCAAAATTGCTGTTATTAGACCATTTTTTGTCTTACAGGAAAGGCAACTGCAGATGGCTCAACCTAACAGTCAACTGAATGTTTCTCAAAGTGTATGAAAGAAAAATTGCTTGAAGTTTTATTTACCCATAGGAGCTAGTCCATCCCTATACCATCCGTTTGAACACAACTAAGTAAATGCTTTCTTTAAAGAAGCTCTAAAATGTTAGTATAAGTAACGTGAAACTTAACTAATGGATATTAAATGAAAACCGTTTATTTAAAAATAAATAGTATAGCTAGAAGGAAATTTACAAATATCCCAGGAAGATCAGTGCCTACATTTTCCAAGACAAGGGTTTCCTCCCTTTTAAAATGTCTCTAGAAAGAGGCGTTCCTCCTTACTCTCAGGTAGACTGTCCCAGTATTTAATCAGTGATACAGTCACAAGAACCCCTTACCCATCACCAGACATGATTTGATGATGAAAACGTCTTATATTGGTATAAGAATTTTAAATGTTTAATTTTCTCATGAGTAAGATTGAATTTGCTTCCCTTAAATGGAGCAGAATAAATGATTGCTTCTTTACCTTATAGATTTTGTTTGCTAAAAAGGTAAATGCAATTCCAAGAAGTCTGCCTTCCTTTTGAGTCTCTCAACATATGAAGAAAAAGAATGTAAGACTCCAAAATATGCTTTTAAAGCAATGCAATCATTTGTGAACAGGGAGACAGCTATGTAAACTACTGAATAAAAGCACTAAGTGCTCAGTAGAGTTCTGTATATGTGGGCGCACACACATGAACTTGGAGGTGGGGTAGATTGTAGCATCATCAGTAAGCCTGTCTCTACTCCCCTCTCTTCCAGTCCCACGCTATTGTGGTTATTGTTCTTCTGAAGGCCTTTGGGGAAATGAGTATCACTCCAGGCCTGTCACTCAACAGACCTCCTCTGTTTCTACTTTTTCTGGAAACAGCTTTGACCTTTCCCAACAGGTATTGCTATGCAGCACTCTAAATGGCATCTTTTGATCTCACCTAGACTCTTTTATAGGTTCCTCACACATCCTTTAAAATGTAGACAACAAAGCTATTGTTCATTTCTCTCTTCTCTTCTGCACCAGGAGCCACTGTCTGAGCCCCCAGGCTACCGGTTTCTAGTACTGCCTGTAGATAAATGGGTCTGTCTTTGATCAGAGTGTGACTTTTTATTTGTGGGCTTCCTGCTGGTTGAAAATATCCCAGTAGATAGGCTAGTGAGGCTCCTATGGGACAAAAGGAAAATAAGAAGTGGCAGGTACAAAACAGATTTGTTTAACTGTTTAAAAGCCAGGTTTTATTCTCAAAGATGTGCTTGAACACAGATACTTTCAAGTCAAAGAAACTAGATGCTCTTTAAATAACTTAGCCACACTTTCTGGGGAGAGAGGCAGGGACAAATGGTCTTTTTTGTCTTGGCAAATGTTTAGACTCAAGAACAAGTAGAAGACTGTTATGTCAGATTTTTTAGTATGACTTTTTTAGGCCTTCCTAAACATTCTAGCTCCTCTCATTCTCTTTACTCAAAATGGCTCTGACAGGTCCAAATACCTGTTGCGACTGCTGCTGCTTTTTTTTGGCTATATCATCACTAAATAGAAGAGTTAAAAAAAAAAAAAAAAGGGAGAGGGCTGTGTGAAGTGAGGTTGGGCTGTTTAGAAAAATAAGCTTCAAATCAAGAGACAATATCTTTTTTAAGAGAAAATTTTTTTATTTCAGTGATCTTTAATGTAATAAAGCCTGCTCTTTTAGGGTCAAGGAAATAGCTGTGAATGTAGCTATATGGGATAGTGCGGCCATTACCATCTATTCATATTATATCTAGATTTTTAAAGTCATGTTGTTACTTCCTACCTTCAAATGTTTCCAAAAATCTCCAGGAAAAATCAGACTGTCAAAATGTATGGGGTAATGTGAAACAAGGAGACCACACCCCAAAACCATACTCCATCCCGTGAAGAAGCCACACCAAACCCAACAAAACTGCCAATATCATCAGGTGAATAAACTTCTGTGTGATGTCTCTGCTTTCAGGCAGAGTAGGTTGTAACATTTTAAACTTGCCTGGGAACTCTTTCTGAGACTTACTTGAGGACTTGTTGTCTAATATTGTTTCTTAGCTGATTCTTATTGAGATGAGGACTCCAGGTATGAGTTGCCAAGTGGTTCGCCACAAAGTTGTCAACACGTTGTCTCAGATTCTGATAGGCAGGCTAGAGAGAACAAACAAACATAAATTCTAAAAATCCCAAGTGTTACACAATATCGCCATTGACAGTCCCAGAAATGTATCTTTAATAGTGTTAACATTTCTTAGATTATAGTATCAATGTGGCAACAGAGTTTCACAGTTTACCACAATCTAGCATCAGGATAATTAATTCAAACACTACTTGTTTTGTCTAAGACTACATGTTTGGAGATATGAGGAACACAAAGCAAAAAAGACACACCTCTTATTTCTAGGACCTCTTATTTAAAGGACTAGAAAGTAAGACAAAAACAAACAAACACCGTTAGATAATTTGAAATGAAGAAAGGGAGAGGAGCTGAGGAAGTATGCCTTTGTTGAAAATTTGGCACTTGAGCTGGAAAAATCAGTTTCGAAGTTTCACAGTGTAGCCAGGCATAAGAATGGCCGCTTTGCAGATACAGTCAACAATATAAACAAAGAGCAAGTGGATAAGCAAACCTGAGGTCAGGAGATTTGGGGAGCCCCCAGACGGGTAGTCCAATTTAGTTAGAGAATAAAATTCAAAAAAGCAGAGAAATGAAGTTGGAGACCTAAGTTGGGGCCAGGTGATGGAAGGCTTTGGGTAGGAACTTGGAATTAAGGGGTGGAGAATGGGAACCCACTGCACATATGAGCACAGTGATGTGACAGCTGAACTTTCTGATGATCTATTATCCTACAGTGAAAGAGTGAACAGCCACAAAACACATGTAAGAAAGCCTGCAATATCTAGAGTGAGGAAGGTCTGTACTGGGGAGGCAGAAACACGCTGAAGGCACAGACCCAAGAGAAGTTACTGACCCAAGAGAAGATACTGAGGTACAATCATTTGCATTAAGCCTAGGCATTAAGCCTGACATAAGCAATGGTTCTCAACCAGGATTTCACTCCCCATCCCCAGGGGCCATTCAGGCAATGTCTGGAGACACTTTCAGTTGTCACAACCAAGGAGTGTGTTATTGGCATCTAGTGGATAGAAAGCAGGGATGCTGCTGAAAATCCTACAACACACAGGACAGCCCACCACAGCAAAGAACAATCCAGCCCCAAATGCGGACCGTGCTGAGAACCTCTGATATGAGAGGAAGTTGAGCAGGGAGAAGGGACATATATGATGTCATCAGCACTTAAAAAGACACTGCCTGGAAGGAATGTGTGATCACTCACTCAGAGGACTGCACTCCATACTTAGAAGTTGTCTCCCTCTACTCAGGTTATTTCTACCTTTTTTACGTGGCTTTTTATGTGGATGAGTTAGAATGTCCTTGAATGATTTTAAGCAAAAAACTGCAGTCTCACCTTCTGCCATTTGCCCCATTTTACCTTCAAAGCTTATACTCCAGTGATACATTCTTTTGCCTTTAATATCCTGCACTTACCTGTTTGTCCATCTGAGAAGCTTCTCACCTCCAAAGCTAACTGTAAAGTCATCCTGCAATCAAGGTGGGCTTATGGGGCCCCTCCATGTTCCTACTGTCTTCCATATATGCTGCATTCGAGCAATTCTTACACTGTCATGAATGGGGTGTGTGGGGGGAGTATTTACAGCCCCACTGAAGTGTAAGCCTGCTCGACCACCTCCTTTCATCTTTGTATTCTCATAGTTTATCACATTGCTTGGCAGATAAGTCATGAAAACATAGTTGTTAGATGACTGGGTAACTATCTCCTACACAAAATGGTAAAAGTTTTATCCCTATGTGATGCCTTTTCATCGGTTCCAATTTTTGGGCTTTTGCTGATACCTATTTTCTGTTCTCCAAAAGTCTCATGACCATTTCTCATGTTTCACTTATCCAAGCTCAATGCAAACCAAAACTAATTCTTAACTAAAAGCAGGTCTTTCTCCTCAGTGATGTTAAAGCATACTTTTCCTTTCCAGTATTCCCAAATCTAACGATCATTTGAGGCTCAATATCACAATGGACTCGGCATTCTATCCAGTCCTCCCATGACAGGTACAAATTTGACCTACTCAATAAGTCATTTTCCCTTCTTTCAAGCTCTCCTTTCAGTAAAAAATTAGTTGACTAGAGATATATTGATAATTCACTGAGAAATATTTTTCTATAAATTTATGCATACATGAGCACATATATGTATATACATATACACACATACATATGCATGCATACACACACACACACACACACACACACTCACAACCCTTCTTCCTCTTCCACTGCTTGATCAAAAGCCTTGGGAGTCATCCCCAAGTACTCATTTTGTCTTCTACCCACATCCAAACCATCAGCAAATTCCATCAGCACTAGCATCAAAATATATCCAGAATCTGACCACTTCCCACAACCTTTACTGCTCCCGCTCTGGTCCATGGCATTCTCATCTCCTGTCCAGATTATAGTAATTGACCTCCCTGCATCTACCCTTGCCTACCTGAAGTCTGTTTTTCAACAGCAAATCTTCTAAAATTAGGGTAACCATATAATATATTGTCTAAATCAGACCACAATTGAGTGTGAAAGGGGACACTATTAAAAATTACACACTGTCAACCCATCTAAAATGGAAGTCAGATCATGCTCTTCTTTTGTTCAAAACCTGCCTATGGCTTCTGGGCTCCACTGAAAGCCAGGCTTCTGATGAATCCCAAGGCAGGGCAGATCTGGGAAGGCAAGAGGCGCACTCCCACCTCACCTCCAGTCACTTTTTCCTCAGTGGGTTCTGCCTCAGGGCTTCTGCACTTGCTATTCTCGGGAATGCTCAGGTCCCAGACCACTGCAGGGCTCCTTCGGTTCCCACGGTACTGAAACCTACCTTGAGCAACGACTCAAAGCAAACAGTAAGTCCTCCCACCCCCTCATCATGCTTTACTTTTTGCCACAGATCACATTACAGGTATACTGTGGTCTGCTCTCTGCTGGGATATGAGTTCCATAACAGCGGGATACTTGGTTCACTGCTGTATCCCTGGTACTAAAAAAAAAAAAAAAATGCCTGGCTCATAAGAGTTGCTTGATGAATGTTGGTTGGGTAAATAAATTGACCAGGAGCCACTTATAGTTAAGAAAGCACCCAAAAGACAGCTTTTATTACTTGGAAAGAGAGATGCCACATTTCCTTGGCTGCTGAGCTCCCTGCCCTGGACAAAATGATGGCCCTTGTGTCTTCCCTGCTCACATTCTCCACTTGCCCACAGTGCAAAGGAGTTAGGACAGCATTGTAACTACCAGGTTTGCTCAAGAGACCTGGGAGCTGGCAGTCTACAATGGAGAAGCCTTAGCAGGAGATGGATCTTGGGGCTGCCCAAGGTGCCGCTTCTTTGGATGGGAAAGGCTGGTTAGGTCTGTACTATTAGATCTCTTTCTTGGCTAAAGACCATCAGTAACCCTTGGGCAATCTGGAAGTACCATGGTCTTCTGGAGTAGCAGACTTTGGCACTTCTCATTCTGGTTCAAATCCAGTAAGACGCATGTCAGTTTTGCTCTTGGAAAGCACCTGGCAGGTTTCAAATGTCTTGGTTCTTAAATATGCATGTGACTGACATCACCCAGTTACTGCTACAATACTATAAGTTACAAGTAAGGCTTTTTGACACAAAGCAGGTCGGTCTCTAAGGTTCCAATATCAAATCACCATACCACACGTGTCAGACGAAATCCAAGGATTCCATTAAAATCATGCCCCCTTGCATGGATAGGGAATCTTCTTTCTGCTTTGGCGCATTCAACACACTAACATGAATGTTAGGCTCCTTTGAAGAAAAAGGTGCCCTTTTCCCCCCTGAGACTTTCAAACTTACTCTTTTTTTTCAATAAGAAAATGGGGTATAAAACGCTACTCGATAAAAACAAATATCTTAAATCAAACTAAAAACTACATAAGTGCTAGCTAAAGAAGAGGAAGAAAAAGAGAGAGAAGGAGGGAGAGTCACGAAGAAAAAACCCCAACATAACCTATGGCATCAGCAGAAGCAGGGACAGAGAGTGGGGGAGGGGGTATGGGGGGGCAAGAGATTTCACAGGAGAGAGGAGAGTCCCAGGGAGCACTGAAGGGAGGGAAGAACTTCAGCCAGACCCAGGTGTCCCCTTGGTGTGGGGAGGGCATCGTTTCTCCTCTCCTGTAGCTCAAGCATCAATAAACAAGGAATCCAATTCTGTGGCCCCCGAACTCCTTGAAACTGTATGCAGTATTAGCTTCAGCCACATGAATTCATCCGTGCTAAGCAGTTTTTCAATGTGTGTATGTGCAATTTTCTTGAAAGAAAGCCCCAACTTTCATTCGGTTGTCAAAGCAACTATGCTTCTCTCCCCCTCCCCCAAGAAATGTTTTACTACCCCACTGTGAGATGGTCTGGCAGCGATAACATAGATATGCTACAACAACATTTTATGAAGATGGAATGGAGAAGTTGAGCCTTAGGTATTACAGCCCCCCATCGGTATATGGGTATTGGGCGTAATCTCCCCTTAAATAACAACGACAATAATAATAATAACAGTAAAACATTACGTTTTAAAAAGCGCCCGTGCATATTCTCTAAGACCAAGTAAGAAAACTACATACTTCTTACATAGGAGAACACCCCCAAGTAAACTGAATTCTCCGCGGTGCAGAAGCCCCAATACCCCGAAAAAGCACCTTCTATGTCGTGGGCCAAGCGCCAGAGTCCTCGGGAAGACGCCCCCAGACTGCCAGGAGGACTTCCCCAGGGGAGAGCGCGGCCTGTGTGCCACTCACCTCGAAGCTCGGGAAGAATCTGGAGGCTGCAAACACTCCCTTCTCCGAAGAAACAAGGCTCCTGGGAACAGCCAAACGCGCCAGGAGAAAACCTCACTCCATCACAGCGCCAGTCCAACGGACCCACCGGATCGGAGCCAAAAACACACCCACAAAAACACCTCTAACTCTCCAACGCGCTTCCCACTTCGCCTGCATCCAGGGGTCTAGACTCTACCGGCTGTGCACCCACCGCGCTGGCCGCTCCTTCCTGGGGTCTTCGGCCTACTCCTC